GCTGTACAGGCTCCAGGGGCGCTGCTGTTCAGGCTCCAGGGGCGCTGCTGTACAGGCTCCAGGGGCGCTGCTGTACAGGCTCCAGGGGCGCTGCTGTACAGGCTCCAGGGGCGCTGCTGTACAGGGGCGCTGCTGTACAGGCTCCAGGGGCGCTGCTGTACAGGCTCCAGGGGCGCTGCTGTACAGGCTCCAGGGGCGCTGCTGTACAGGCTCCAGGGGCGCTGCTGTACAGGCTCCAGGGGCGCTGCTGTACAGGCTCCAGGGGCGCTGCTGTACAGGCTCCAGGGGCGCTGCTGTACAGGCTCCAGGGGCGCTGCTGTACAGGCTCCAGGGGCGCTGCTGTACAGGCTCCAGGGGCGCTGCTGTACAGGCTCCAGGGGCGCTGCTGTACAGGCTCCAGGGGCGCTGCTGTACAGGCTCCAGGGGCGCTGCTGTACAGGCTCCAGGGGCGCTCCTGTACAGGCTCCAGGGGCGCTCCTGTACAGGCTCCAGGGGCGCTCCTGTACAGGCTCCAGGGGCGGGGCAGGCTCCAGGGGCGCTCCTGTACAGGCTCCAGGGGCGCTGCTGTACAGGCTCCAGGGGCGCTGCTGTACAGGCTCCAGGGGCGCTGTTGGACAGGCTCCAGGGGCGCTGCTGTACAGGCTCCAGGGGCGCTCCTGTACAGGCTCCAGGGGCGCTCCTGTACAGGCTCCAGGGGCGCTCCTGTACAGGCTCCAGGGGCGCTCCTGTACAGGCTCCAGGGGCGCTCCTGTACAGGCTCCAGGGGCGCTGATGTACAGGCTCCAGGGGCGCTGCTGTACAGGCTCCAGGGGCGCTGTTGGACAGGCTCCAGGGGCGCTGCTGTACAGGCTCCAGGGGCGCTCCTGTACAGGCTCCAGGGGCGCTCCTGTACAGGCTCCAGGGGCGCTCCTGTACAAGCTCCAGGGGCGCTCCTGTACAGGCTCCAGGGGCGCTCCTGTACAGGCTCCAGGGGCGCTCCTGTACAGGCTCCAGGGGCGCTGCTGTACAGGCTCCAGGGGCGCTCCTGTACAGGCTCCAGGGACGCTCCTGTACAGGCTCCAGGGGCGCTCCTGTACATGCTCCAGGGGCGCTCCTGTACAGGCTCCAGGGGCGCTCCTGTACAGGCTCCAGGGGCGCTCCTGTACAGGCTCCAGGGGCGCTGCTGTACAGGTTCCAGGGGCGCTCCTGTACAGGCTCCAGGGGCGCTCCTGTACAGGCTCCAGGGGCGCTCCTGTACAGGCTCCAGGGGCGCTCCTGTACAGGCTCCAGGGGCGCTGCTGTACAGGCTCCAGGGGCGATGATGTACAGGCTCCAGGGGCGCTGCTGTACAGGCTCCAGGGGCGCTGTTGGACAGGCTCCAGGGGCGCTGCTGTACAGGCTCCAGGGGGCGCTCCTGTACAGGCTCCAGGGGCACTCCTGTACAGGCTCCAGGGGCGCTGCTGTACAGGCTCCAGGGGCGCTGATGTACAGGCTCCAGGGGCGCTGCTGTACAGGCTCCAGGGGCGCTGATGTACAGGCTCCAGGGGCGCTGCTGTACAGGCTCCAGGGGCGCTGCTGTACAGGCTCCAGGGGCGCTGTTGGACAGGCTCCAGGGGCGCTCCTGTACAGGCTCCAGGGGCGCTCCTGTACAGGCTCCAGGGGCGCTCCTGTACAGGCTCCAGGGGCGCTCCTGTACAGGCTCCAGGGGCGCTCCTGTACAGGCTCCAGGGGCGCTCCAGGGGCGCTCCTGTACAGGCTCCAGGGGCGCTCCTGTACAGGCTCCAGGGGCGCTGATGTACAGGCTCCAGGGGCGCTGCTGTACAGGCTCCAGGGGCGCTGTTGGACAGGCTCCAGGGGCGCTGCTATACAGGCTCCAGGGGCGCTCCTGTACAGGCTCCAGGGGCGCTCCTGTACAGGCTCCAGGGGCGCTGCTGTACAGGCTCCAGGGGCGCTCCTGTACAGGCTCCAGGGGCGCTCCTGTACAGGCTCCAGGGGCGCTCCTGTACATGCTCCAGGGGCGCTCCTGTACAGGCTCCAGGGGCGCTCCTGTACAGGCTCCAGGGGCGCTCCTGTACAGGCTCCAGTGGCGCTGCTGTACAGGTTCCAGGGGCGCTCCTGTACAGGCTCCAGGGGCGCTCCTGTACAGGCTCCAGGGGCGCTCCTGTACAGGCTCCAGGGGCGCTCCTGTACAGGCTCCAGGGGCGCTGCTGTACAGGCTCCAGGGGCGATGATGTACAGGCTCCAGGGGCGCTGCTGTACAGGCTCCAGGGGCGCTGTTGGACAGGCTCCAGGGGCGCTGCTGTACAGGCTCCAGGGGCGCTCCTGTACAGGCTCCAGGGGCACTCCTGTACAGGCTCCAGGGGCGCTGCTGTACAGGCTCCATGGGCGCTGATGTACAGGCTCCAGGGGCGCTGCTGTACAGGCTCCAGGGGCGCTGATGTACAGGCTCCAGGGGCGCTGCTGTACAGGCTCCAGGGGCGCTGCTGTACTGGCTCCAGGGGCGCTGCTGTACAGGCTCCAGGGGCGCTGATGTACAGGCTCCAGGGGCGCTGCTGTACAGGCTCCAGGGGCGCTGCTGTACAGGCTCCAGGGGCGCTGATGTACAGGCTCCAGGGGCGCTGCTGTACAGGCTCCAGGGGCGCTGCTGTACAGGCTCCAGGGGCGCTGCTGTACAGGCTCCAGGGGCGCTGATGTACAGGCTCCAGGGGCGCTGCTGTACAGGCTCCAGGGGCGCTGCTGTACAGGCTCCAGGGGCGCTGCTGTACAGGCTCCAGTGGCGCTGCTGTACAGGCTCCAGGGGCGCTCCTGTACAGGCTCCAGGGGCGCTCCTGTACAGGCTCCAGGGGCGCTGTTGGTCAGGCTCCAGGGGCGCTGCTGTACAGGCTCCAGGGGCGCTGCTGTACAGGCTCCAGGGGCGCTGCTGTACAGGCTCCAGGGGCGCTCCTGTACAGGCTCCAGGGGCGCTGCTGTACAGGCTCCAGGGGCGCTGCTGTACAGGCTCCAGGGGCGCTGCTGTACATTCTCCAGGGGCGCTGCTGTACAGGCTCCAGGGGCGCTGCTGTACAGGCTCCAGGGGCGCTGCTGTACAGGCTCCAGGGGCGCTCCTGTACAGGCTCCAGGGGCGCTGCTGTACAGGCTCCAGGGGCGCTCCTGTACAGGCTCCAGGGGCGCTGTTGGACAGGCTCCAGGGGCGCTGCTGTACAGGCTCCAGGGGCGCTGCTGTACAGGCTCCAGGGGCGCTGCTGTAGAGGCTCCAGGGGCGCTCCTGTACAGGCTCCAGGGGCGCTGCTGTACAGGCTCTAGGAGCGCTGCTGTACAGGCTCCAGGGGCGCTCCTGTACAGGCTCCAGGGGCGCTGCTGTACAGGCTACAGGGGCGCTGCTGTACAGGCTCCAGGGGCGCTGCTGTACAGGCTCCAGGGGCGCTGCTGTACAGGCTCCAGGGGCGCTGCTGTACAGGCTCCAGGGGCGCTGCTGTACAGGCTCCAGGGGCGCTGCTGTACAGGCTCCAGGGGCGCTGCTGTACAGGCTCCAGGGGCGCTCCTGTACAGGCTCCAGGGGCGCTGCTGTACAGGCTCCAGGGGCGCTGCTGTACAGGCTCCAGTGGCGCTGCTGTACAGGCTCCAGGGGGCTCCAGGGGCGCTCCTGTACAGGCTCCAGGGGCGCTCCTGTACAGGCTCCAGGGGCGCTGCTGTACAGGCTCCAGGGGCGCTGCTGTACAGGCTCCAGGGGCGCTGCTGTACAGGCTCCAGGGGCGCTCCTGTACAGGCTCCAGGGGCGCTGCTGTACAGGCTCCAGGGGCGCTCCTGTACAGGCTCCAGGGGCGCTCCTGTACAGGCTCCAGGGGCGCTGCTGTACAGGCTCCAGGGGCGCTGTTGGACAGGCTCCAGGGGCGCTCCTGTACAGGCTCCAGGGGCGCTGCTGTTCAGGCTCCAGGGTCTCTGCTGTACATGCTCTAGGGTCTTTGTGTACATGCTCCAGGATCTTTAGTGTACATGCTCCAGAGGCGCTGCTGTACATGCTCCAGGGGCGCTGCTGTACATGCTCCAGGGGCGCTGCTGTACAGGCTCCAGGAGTACTACTATGCACTTGCGGCAACCCTTGTATACACGCTCCCGGCCCCCCCCCCCCTAAAATATATGTATCAGTTTGTGGAGCGTGTATAGGAGCACCACTCTAACAGGTGTAGCAGGGGGGCCCCTTGTGCAGAACACTTACAAAAGGGGGCCCCCCTGGAGCGTATATTTCAGGACAATTATAATATTTATAGCTGGAACCTGAAGTGTGTATTGATGCATCTCTAAGACATATATAGTAAGGCTCCCTGGATGTAAACAAGCTCCAGGACTACCACTATAAACTCCATAATCGTACTGGTATATACACTCTGTGCATATACAAGTATAAAGAATATAAAAATTTAAACTCCATAATATATTTAATAAAACTGAAAGTTATGTCCCTGTTACTCCGAGCGTAGTATTCGCTGGCTATGCAGTAATTTTGATTATATAAGAAGAGATTTCAAATATATATAGATAGTAATTATTATTTTAAAATTTTGGTGAAAGTTCATATTATATTTTAGATTTGGTGAAGAGCTGTGATATACAACCTGAAGGGGCTTGTAGCCATTGCAACATTCCCAAAGCTTCTGAAAATATATATACCAATAATTCCACACCATTACAAACTCATTAAATAATCCGTTGTTATCGACTTATTTCTGCTTTCCAAATATTACATATTGCTAGATACGTAGTTTTTGTTTACTCTTTAATAAATTTTGTATATTGTTAATATTTAGCTAAAAGTTAAATTTGAGATATTCTACATATTTCGGCCAGTTAGTGATTAATATAAATATTCAGCACAAAGTAAATATTTCTATGTGATTTAATATGTAATTTCTTGTGTCTTGGAAAGAGCTGGGCCTCTGGACAATGATAAACTATATATACAAGCAAAGACATTAATAATAATATAACCATCATTACAATTTATATAAATCTTCATCACACAGGAAGTGGAGAACAGATCCAGATTCGGAGGATTTGGAAACTTCATGATCGGACGTTTTGGAGGATTCCCGTTCCACTCGAGCACGACAACCACCACCACCACCACCACCAACAACAACAACAACAGCAGCAGCAGCAGCACCAGCAGCAGCAGCAACAACAACAACAACCCCTGCAGCACCAGCAACCCCGGTAATGAGGACGGGGACACCTGCCAGACACTTAACGGAGGCATCTTGGCTCCTATAAACGACGTCACGGCTTACAGAGTCGGCTCAGGGAGCTCCTTGCCGCCCATACGACGACAGGTGAGCCCTCAAGTGGCACACGCAAGCTATGTGCACTCCTGTGAGTGCTAGTGGATGCCCATTCTTCTCCTGTGGGTGTTAGTGGGTCCCCATACCTCTGCTGTGGGTGCTAGTGGATGCCCATTCCTCTCCTGTGAGTGCTAGTAGATGCCCATTCCTCTCCTGTGGGTGCTGGTGGACCCCCATACCTCTGGTATGAGTGCTAGCGGATGTCCATACCCCTCCTGTGAGTGCTAGTGGATTCCCATATCCGTCTTATGAGTGCTAGTGTACCTGCATACTCATTCCGTGAATGATAGTGGACCTCATACTCATCCTGTGAGTGGAAGTGAACCCTATACCTATGAGGTGAGTGGCAGTGGAGTCCAGACCCATCCAGTGAGTGATAGTGGACCCAATACCCATTCTGTGAATTGTAGTGGATTCCATACCCCCATCCTGTGAATAGCAATGACCCCGATACCCATCTCATGACTGGTAGCGCACCCCCTAACCGACCCTGTGAATTAACTGGTTAACAAACATTTGTTTTCATATCAACAAATGACAGCACTGATGAGTCGTTACGGAGTTTGTCAGTCCCACAATGGCCGAAGCAACAAGACTCTTGCTGCCTGGCTAAGCAGACCTGCGTCCCTATAACGGCAGAATCCGCATCCTCTGTCCCCAGGAGGTTAACAGTCGTCGAGGGAGCGTGTCGTCCTCCAGGAGAGGGTCAGGGTCGTTGCGGTCAGCGAGGAGCGAGGAACGACTGCCGGTGCGGACCAGCGACACCACCTCCAGTTACCAGCGGCCCATATACCCAGCCAGGACCACACGCCGGGAGGATTTCATGTGAGTTCCTCTACCTCTGGACTCCTTGTATTGTCTTATGTCTCGTGGCCTCGACGGGGTCAGGAAGCCCTGAGGGCCACCGTCTCTCGTGGCCTCGACGGGGTCAGGAAGCCCTGAGGGCCACCGTCTCTCGTGGCCTCGACGGTGGTCAGGAAGCCCTGAGGGCCACCGTCTCTCGTGGCCTCGACGGTGGTCAGGAAGCCCTGAGGGCCACCGTCTCTCGTGGCCTCGACGGGGTCAGGAAGCCCTGAGGGCCACCGTCTCTCGTGGCCTCGACGGGGTCAGGAAGCCCTGAGGGCCACCGTCTCTCGTGGCCTCGACGGGGTCAGGAAGCCCTGAGGGCCACCGTCTCTCGTTGCCTCGACGGTGGTCAGGAAGCCCTGAGGGCCACCGTCTCTCGTGGCCTCGACGGTGGTCAGGAAGCCGGCGTCTTGTCAAAAGTCCCCTATTATTCCTGAGAATTTTTCGAGTTGAACTTTAAACTGAAGTAATGTCTTGGCATTTATAGCATGTTGTGTGGCATTGTGCACGATCGAGCTTCAGCTCATGGTCACCGCCTTTACAACTGTCGGTCGTCAATTACAATGCTTCCCAAAGTCTTTGTTTCTCGTCAATTCTGATTTTTATAAAACTACAGGTTTCTTCCCATTTACTATGTGCCCTTATGTTGAAGTGCTTCCTCACTCTTACTGTGGCTCATTTGCATGTCCTCTACATCTGTCTTCATTCTACTGATACCCATGAGTATTTAGTATGTTTGGATCATGTCCCCCCTCACTTTTATTCATTCACGTGAGCATATCACATGTTTGGATTATATCCTCTCAGTGTTTGGAATATATCCTCTCAGTTATATATATCTTAGAATATATCCTTTTCCGCCGTTGAGGATTTCCCTCATTTGTGAATCTATAATTTTTCGATTTTTATCGTATGATTATATATTAAGATTAAAAAAATCCACAAGGGCCTGGATGAGGGTTCGAACCTATGCGCTGGATGTTCCCAGACGCGCTCTAGTCAACTGTACCACCACATGGTAAGAGCATTGTAACCTGGAGAGTTACAGCTGCCACGAGGAGCCCGAGGCGTCCACTGTAGCCTAACCGGGGGAAAACAGAATTTCACCCCCCCCCCCCCCCCCCCCCCCGCCCCTCATGCACTCCGGCTCTGTCAGCCAAATAGTTCTGACCCTTGTGGATTTGTTCATTTGATTTATCACGTTATTGTGCTTTCTGTGGTGTATTATTAAGATTATTCCATGCTTTCAACTATTCACGCGTTCACTGACGAAATCTTTCAGGAGTTTGAAAGAAATCTCACTGACGAAATCTTTCAGGAGTTTGAAAGAAATCTCACTGACGAAATCTTTCAGGAGTTTGAAAGAAATCTCACTGACGAAATCTTTCAGGAGTTTGAAAGAAATCTCACTGACGAAATCTTTCAGGAGTTTGAAAGAAATCTCACTGACGAAATCTTTCAAATCTATCGAGGAATTCTTTCCTTGATAATGGTAGGTTAGTTTGTGTTATTATATTGTTTACGAGCTTGGAGACTTATAGAAAACCTCGTAGTGCTTCGGAGTTTATGTGTTTTTTTAACTGTAAACAGAGATACCGAGCTATAGCAAGATGTACAGGTTTCGTAAATAGACACTTAGGTTCTTGATGAATTCTGACCTTAACCAAGGAGCCATTTAGGATGCAATACACCACTTTAGGTATTACCAAATTCTGGGGTACATGCATAGAAGCGCGCATACATATTAATACATACATACATTCGCATAAATATACATTTACATGAGGAAATATTGAGGCAGTATGAGATAGAACTCTGGGTGCCTGGACTTCCCAGTATGCTCATATGAATATTAATCACGTGTTTATTTTCGTGATATACACACATATGTATATAAACCTACATTTACCCGTATGTAAACACACATACAACACAACACATACATAAGTCTTACACAGATGCATATACACACAACCCCGTGTAGCCCTCTGGCGGTGATCTTGACAACAAGAGTCTCTCCACTACAGGCAAGACATGAGGCGAGCCAAGGAGACGAAGACCTACACAGAGATGAAGAAGTTCTATTTCGACACCTTCGAGTCTTACGCCAGCATCTGCGCTACCTTCAAGGTATATAAATCCACCCCCTTCCCCACGTACATTAAGGTAGGGATTACCTTTAACTATTTAATCGAGGATTTGTGCCTCTTCTGATTTGCTATTTCTAATTTTAGGGCCGAAATTTGATATCTGGGAGGGGATTTGGAATTTTGTGTAAAGGATTTTGCATTATTTTGGGGAGGGGGCAGAATTTTCAGTTTTTTGGGGGGAAACTGATTAGTTTTTGTTTATGGGAATTTATGATATATGAAAGGATTTTTAATTGTGTAGCATTATTCTTAGTTATATTGACGTCAGGTTGTCCTGTATCCCAGTCAGGTACCATCGCATCTCTCCCAGGTCACTGAGTGGGATTTTTCCTTGGATTTTCTACCCAATAGGCCTGAACCTAAACCGTCACTTGTATACCTCTTTCTTGTTCTAAGTACCTCCCATTATTTTAAGTTCACTATTCTTACATATTTAAAGCAATTCCTACTTTGATACTCTCTTTGGTTGATTCTTTATAAGTTACTGCCTGTTACAGAGTTTTTACACTAACCCGATATTAACCTAATCTCGGGTTAGTGTAGTGTAGTATAGCTATGAGTTATCACCACACTTGTACGTTATGTCCCCGCATGTCATGGTTAAGTCGGTAGTGTGTATCCCTTGGGAGACTATGGATGGAGAGCTGGGCTGCGATGCCACTGCAGCCTCAATATTTTCTCAAGGTTACTGCTTACTTGACGTTGCGCGTATATGGCGTATCAATGTCTAAAGAATTAAGGCCGCCCCAATACCTCGCTGACCAGTCCATATACTACGTTCGGAGTATGTACTCGAAACGTAGTATACTGAGTTTTCCCGTTTTCTAGAAGTGTATAGTATACTGAGTATACCCCCGTTTTCTATATGTATATTCAGTTTCCTATAGTTTTCGACAAAGTACAGGATTAAAGTGTAATTATTGGAACAAATTATTATCTTATTAAATTCCATCGCCCTCACCCTATTTCATCTCGGTTACTGATGTATTGAAGGTAAATATTGTGTTCTTGCAGAGAGATCCGGATTACGATGGCGCTCGCGTTGACGATCCGGGTGTTAAGATGGAGCTTGTGTACACTGTTCACGACTCCATACGAGAAATGGTCAGTATTGGTACACAGGTTGTATGTATAGGTGTGAGTGCGCGTGTACATGTGTGGCAATGATAACCAAACTACACATCAGAAAATGGAGAAATTAAGACATTTCGGTCCGTCCTGGACCATTATGAAGTCTTGAAATATACTTGATAATTGACACACCCTCATACTCATGTGTGGGTATGTGTGTGTAAGGTATGGGAGGACATGTGTGAGTGTGAATACAGGACGCTTGTACATGTGTATATGTGTGTGGGTGTATAACCTGTGTGTACATGTGTGGGTGTATAACCTGTACTCACCTAGTTGTGCTTGCGGGGGTTGAGCTTTGGCTCTTTGGTCCCGCCTTTCAACTGTAAATCAACTGGAGTACAGATTCCAGAGAGTACTGAGCTCTATCATATCTACATTTGAAACTGTGTATGGAGTCAGCCTCCACCATATCACTGCCTAATGCATTTCATCTGTTAACTACTCTGACACTGAAAAAGTTCTTTCTAATGTCTCTGTGGCTCATTTGGGTACTCAATTTCCACCTGTGTCCCCTAGTTCGTGTTCCGCCCGCGCTAAAGAGTTTGTCTTTGTCCACCCTGTCAATTCCCCTGAGAATTTTGTAGGTGGTTATCATGTCTCCCCTTACTCTTCTGTCTTCCAGGGACGTGAGTTTCAGCTCCTTTAGCCTTTCTTCATAGCTCATACCTATAGTTCCGGAACGAGTCTGGTGGCATACCGCTGAATCTTCTCTATCTTTGTCTTGTGTGGGTGTCTGGTGTGTACATGTGTGGGTGTGTACAGGCTCCGTCTGCATGTATGTGTGTGAGTACATGCTCCGTTTACATGTGTGTGGGTATGTATGTATGCGCAGGCTGTGTACTCACCTATTTGTACTGTTGGGAAGTCCAGCTATTGTTCTCCTCTCCCGCCTGTATGATTCATCCTCCCCGCCTTGTAAATACCCAGAAGAAGTCCTAATACGTTTTATAACACTTTAGAGGAGGCAAGATGCCTCAACGAGAAGAAATTTATGTTTAAGTTTCACTCGGGAAGAAGCCTGAAAGCGACTCCACCATTAAAATGGCAGTGCGCCTCAAAGGGAAGGGGAGAGGAGAAAGTCGGGTTTTCCCGCTCGAGGAGACCACCAGAGCATTGTGGGTACAGAGCCAGGTTGTGCATGATTGGTCGGTGGCGATGGGGGGGGGGCTTGGCTAGGCAGACCAATCGCGAAGCTCCCCGGGTGTGACGTGGAGTGATGTCAGGTAGTGGCGGGAAAACTATCGTCACTCGCTACCAGGGATGAATCCGAGCAGAGGTGCTGTTCAGAGGTCCCCAGTTCTGGAGAGGAATTGGCGTCCAGTGTACGAAATCTCGAGCAGCTTTCGAGTGTCAATGAAGCGGAGCGTCCAGTCGACTTCCAAGGGAGTACAGTAAGGAGCTGGACCTTGATTCACAAAGCTCCATGTATTTCTTCGTAAGTATGTGTGCTACGAAGGTTCCTAAGTACCGGCTAAGAACGTGCCAAAGTGCAATTCAGAAAAGTGTACTTATGAAGATTTTAAGTAGTTCACTTGGGTTTTGCTAGATGTCACTAGGACTTTTAGTTGGCCAATCAGAGAGAAGGTAACATTTTTCAACTTACAGCTGTAGCCAATCACGACGCTGGCATATCAGAGCTTATCTGTGATCACTTGCCACTTATTTACGTCGAATTTTCAACTTGTACAGTCAGCACTGACATTGTAGTATACAAATGTTACATTTTTTGTTTACCTACGTAATTCTAAGAGATAGTGTATAGCTGCCCTTGTCGCTCCCAAGACTTGAGAAACGATGGTATTTATTTACGTATATATTTACCTAAATTTACCCAAGGGCCACTAACTATCTAGTGGACTCGACGAGGACAGAAAGCCGGGGGCTTGTTTAAAGTCCCGCCAATTATCCTAATGATATTTTCTAGCTGGATTTGGCATTTACGGCTTCAGCGGGTAGGCGGTTCCATGGGTTTATAACCCTCTGGGTGAAAAAAAATGTTTTCAGTCCTGCTTGAGAGGACATACTCTCTAACACTATGTGATTGCCCTGTTATCAGTGACTTCACACCAAATGGTATGAAGTACTTTGAGCACTGTAATTACTTCATACACTCAGGAATATTGGAACATATTCTTGTGCTGCACCCAGATTTTGCCAGTGGAGGCTAATAGATCAGCCTTACATTTCATGTTCTCTCCTGATTACATGTATAACTGGCCGTCCTGTGAGGTGAGGATGTTGGATGAGCTTGTAGCTGGTTTTTTATCTACACTGTGTGGTCCTTCATACAGAATAGGGAAGCAGCACATGGCTGTGTATATGTAAGCTTGTTAAAAAAATGCAATGTTTAGGAGGAATCTTGTAGAAACTAGCAAGAGTAATTATAATATAATGTTTCCGTGATTCAGTGCTTACCTCTTGTGAAAATCGTGAAGTTGTTATTTAGTCAGAGTTGATTTGTTTTTTGTATTGAGGCTGGTATTTTCACCCTTGATTCCATGTATGACTAACCATCCTATGAGATGGGAGTACAGTATTAGATGAACTTATAGCTAGTTTCTGATCTACACTGCGTAATCTTTCATATAGAAGAGGGTAGCAGCACATTGCTGTGTATACCTAAGCTTCTTAATAAAAAAAATCAGTAATAAAGATTTTAAATTATAGTTTGTATTATTACCAGTATTATCCTTATTAAATCATGTTAACCATGGATCATTAAGATCTCTTGTTGATATGTAATAGTCATATTTCTTTTGTATCATTCATTAAATTGTTCATTATGTCTCAATTTTTCACTTCTTTGGATATACAGTACAAATGATAGTTTAAACAACCCATAAATATTTGTTGCATTATATTTTTTTATTTAAATAACTGGATCAATATTTTTACAGCTGACAGGATTTGTTTTACTCACAGGTGCATTATCTGTTAAAAAAAATTAGGTTTATTGTTACACACAATGATGCTACATAGCCTTCTTGGCTTGGTGCCTTCTTTTGATAATTACTTACTTATTGTTACACACAGCCAAATTGTGTAACAGGAAGAGGTCTTGGACCCCTGCTTCCCCCTCTCTTTTTTAACAGGCCATAATAGTCCATATAATCATAATTATAGGCCTAAGTATTCAATGACAAAAGTTTTTGAAGTTTTTACTCTTACCCTTACCTAACATCATTTGTGCAGCATATTTTTCTTTTATGTCTCACCCAGATTTAATTTCAAAATAAAACCAAACAATATAAATTAAAAATGGGTATGTATAGCTAAGGTACACCCCCCTAGCTATACTTATTGCTAAGTGAATAGGGGCATTTGGTGATAGTAAATGCTCCCTCTAGCCCAGGATCATCACCTCTCATATATCATGCTCACCAGTGTTTATTTACTTAATAACTACTGGTATAATCTTTAGCTATAATAAAACTAATTCTAATACCATAAAAGACATATGTACTACAAGTTTCAAGCAGAGAATGCATATATAGCTAACACGAAGGACTCCTTCTTGAGTGAGACTCGCCAGCTAAAATGTTATTTTATAATAAAATCGATCCTCCGTGTTGTGTAGTAGAGAAAAATTGAGTTATATCCAGTTTACTTAAAGCTACGAGTGGTCGAGAGCAACCTTAGTGCGACGGTGTGTACTTACGAAGATTTTGATACTTAGATGCCAACCTGAATACCGCCGGAGCCGCTAAGAAGGAAAACGTTCGTAAGTATGTATGTAACTGTTTCGTGAATCTGGGCCCTGGTCGGTGAGAGAAGATCACCAGATTTTCGAGGATGTGGAGCTCCAATGATTGCCTTGAGAGGCGGCGCTGGGGGGGTTAAGGTACATTCCGCAGGCCGTTTCCTGCAGTGGAGCAGTGCCGAAGAGATCGGTGGCTGAGTCCTGGTCCGGTATGTTAGTGAAGACACTCCTGGGATGAAGTCATACTACATGACTACGGCAGAAGCGGCGGAAAAGTATTAGAGTGTGATGAAGCCCGGGAGACCAAGCAACATTGGCTGTTATCTAGCAGTCTGTGAGTGAATGTTCGTAATAGAGAGTGCCTGTCGTGTGATTAGGAGACGTAGCGTGTCGGCCGCCGAGGGAGGAGACGTGGCGGAGAGCAGACCCACCCAAACTTCGCGGAGACTTGAGGAGCTACTATTCTCTACTACGACCAGTTGAGACTATAGCTTCCAGGGACGCTTTATAAGGTAGATAAATTTGCCCTCCCATTCCCTCCCCCCCCATTCCCTTGCTGTTAGGAAGTGCATTATTAAATATTAAGGTACGAGGCAGAAAATATGTGAGGAGTAAGGCCGGACATAGTGAAATTAAAGGTTGTTCTTTTATGGCAGTGACTCTGATTTTATATTATTAATTATGTGGAGATCCTGTGTGCTGCATATTATTTGAGTGATGTAAAAGGGCCTAAATGTTGTAGAAAACGGTTATAGAAAAGATAGCCTCGTAATTCATAATTTGTGGTAGCCGTGGAGTGTTGCCATATTAGTCTAACTTCACTAATGTGAAGAGTGTTGCCATCTGACAAAATAAGCGAGATTTTTACGGCCCGTCATTATGCTGTCTCATTTGGGTAAACAAAACTAATTTGAACACGGTGTTTATTTCCTCCCCTTCATTTCTCTGTATTTTGTTTTTTGGGTCTACTGAGCACCACTCACTAATGAACGAGTGTCAGACTGGACAAGAATAAATACAACTGCACATGAAGAAATTATCTGGCCGCAGGTGAGTGCCGGTCAGGTTATCTTGAGATGATTTCGGGGCTTTAGTGTCCCCGCGGCCCGGTCCTCGACCAGGCCTCCACCCCCAGGAAGCAACCCGTGACAGCTGACTAACTCCCAGGTACCTATTTACTGCTAGGTAACAGGGGCATTCAGGGTGAAGGAAACTTTGCCCATTTGTTTCTGCCTCGTGCGGGAATCGAACCCGCGCCACAGAATTACGA